TGGCGTGAAGTTTGCGACGGAAAGATTGATTGCTTAAATGATGGTCGAGATGAAATTGATTGTGATCAGTTAGATATGAATGAATGCAAAGATGATGAGTTCCGTTGTAGTAACGGATTTTGTATTCCAAAAGAGCTGTTCAACGATGATTCATTGAATCCGGACTGCATCGATAGTTCGGATGAAAAGTATGATGAGACAGAAGATTATTTAAGTGGTCGTCAAAATTGTTTTGAGGATCCGACGTTCCGCTGTGAAGAGACTAAATGTCGAAACGAACGTATGTTATCATGTGGTGATGGCCAATGCAGTATGCTATATTGCAAACAGAATCGCGACTCTATATTAAAGAAAGCAAAATTATTTCGAAATGAAAATCTTCATATATCATTTGAATGCTGGGAAATTTTGATTTGCTATTCCGTTACACATCTTACCACTGACTATTTTATTGAAAATACGGAATGTGTAGATGACGATGAGAAGGAAAATCGATTTCGAGAAAAGTGTCCGTTTCTTTTCTTCTTTCCCGTTCAACCGATAGTACTTAATCATGTTCATTTTGTGTATGCAAATAATTTAACAAATCTATTTAAACAAGACATCTTTGTACCTCATTATATATGCTACGATCAAGAATTATGTGAATGGCTTCCGGCTACTATATTGATTAATGGTTCAACTTGTCGACGTACTTCTGAATTGAACATAGATATATCATCGATATATCCACATAATTTTGTAAGCGACGTTCTGACCTTATTTCATAAATGTTCAATCACAAAGACTAGATATACTGAATGTCCAAAGTCAAAGCCATATCGTTGTGCAAATTCATCGAAATGTATTGCTTTGAATCGACTCGTTGACGGTTTTTTCGATTGTTTTCAAGGAGATGATGAAGAAATCATAAATAGTTGCTCATTACTAGATATAGATTATCGTTATCGGTGTTCTTCGGAGAACAAATGTATTCCAATGACTAGAGCTAATACCAATCGACCAATTTGTATCGGTGGAGAAGATGCAAAATTTGTACCCGGTAGATCTCGACAAACTTTTCATTTATCATTCACAACACTTTGTGATGGCTTTGTCGATCGTTACACAATCGATGGACTTAATTATACAGATGAAATGGATTGTAAAGAATGGGCCTGTAACAATATATATACGCGATGTGATGGAAAATGGAATTGTCCGAATGCAGCTGATGAAGCGAATTGTTCTGCTAATCCATGCTATCCCGATGGTCACCTCTGTATGTCACCGTACAGTAACAATTTCACCTGTTTACCTCTTGCTCGAATTAATGATGGCCATATTGATTGTATAGGTGGCTACGATGAGCAATATCGTTGTGGAAACAAATTAGGATCCAATTTGGATAAAAATTATCGATGTTTCAATGAAACAAATTGTATTCATATTTATCGAATGTGTGCTTTAAACGTAGATCGCTGTTCTTCAAACTATGATCGCGATCTATGGTGTATAAAAAACTCAAATCTATCAGCTTTAACAAACGATGACATATTACTTCAAAGACCACGGAATGCAAATGAACAGTCTTATTGGATTCATCTATCTTTGAGCCTTAGAAGAACACCTTATGTCTATTTCACCTTGAAAAATCATTTCGACTATCCTTCTGTTGAGAGCATTACCAATCACAACAAGTCGAGCGCAATTACAACTGTACACAATTTTTATCCTAATCACAAAGCTAAGAAGCGCTGTTTTGAATATACAAACCCTTTGATGAGCCAGATTTGCAATCGTGGGATTCCTGTCTATCAAAATAATTTAAATGAAATCTCCTGCTTATGTCCACCAGCCTACTTCGGACATCGATGTCAATATCAAAGTGAACGAGTTGGTGTCACATTACAATTTCGAGTAATTCAATGGCGAACAGTATTTACTTTTGTGATCATGCTTATTGACGGAAGTACAACTATTCATTCGTCAGAACAAGTTGATTATTTGTCCGTACGTGATTGTCGAAAAAAATTCGATGTATATCTTCTCTATTCATCCCGACCAAAACACATTAATCAAACATTTTATCTACGCATTGATATCTATGATAAAGACAAAATGGAATATTATTTCTCAATGTTCTATCCTATTCTATATTCATTCTTACCAGTACATCGTCTTTCCTTACAAATCAATGTTCCAATGTTAGATGTTACAGCCAAATTTACAAGGTGTCCTTTGAAATGTCTATATGGAAGATGTCAACGTTTTCTGAATGTCGATCAATACTTCTGTCAATGTTCTGATGGCTATTCTGGAGCTTTATGTACAGTGAAGAACGCATGTTCCTGTTCATCGGATTCAATCTGTGTTGGAGTTGTCAACAATAGATCAATATGCGTTTGTCCTCTTGATAAATTCGGACCACGTTGTTATCTAAAAAGAACAATATGCCTCTCCAACAACTGTTCGCATGATGGTCAATGTATTGCTGCTGATATAAAGTATTCAGAAACAGAATATTTTTGTCTTTGTTCTCAAAGTTACATGGGCTTAAGATGTAATGATGCATTAAGAAAAATTGAATTTCATTTTGCTACAACAATAGCCATCCCACAATCGATTCTAATTCACTTTATTTATGTTCCATCGAAGCCCCACTCTATTTCTTCACTACCTCCTCCCGATCCAATACGAAGTACTCTTATTTCAAAATTAAAGTTTAACGAAACTTCTACTTTTTCTTATTATGGAGGAATATTTCATCTAATATTTGTAGAATTTCATAAAAATTATTATCTTACACTACTGCAACATAATTCTACATTACCAATGAATATTTCAATGACAATTATACCTGAAAATCGCTGTTCATCAATAAAAGAACTATTTGATGATCATGTTCAAATGTTACCACGATGGCATCGTGCTAAGTATTATCATATTCCATGTCAAAAACATTCGAATCTTGCATGTTTCTATGATAATGACTATTTCATGTGTCTATGTGATATTGATCGGCATGCAAATTGTTTCAACTTCGATTATCGTCCTGTTGACAACTGCTTTGGTTATAATTATTGTGAAAATGATGCTCAATGTTATCTTGACAATATTACTTGTCCAACATCATTCTCATGCGCATGCAAAGAATGTTATTTTGGTGCTCGATGTCAGTTTACTACAATAGGATACGGTCTATCACTCGATGATATTCTTGGTTATAGCATTTGGTCAAATGTTCCTTTCTCAAAGCAATCGAACGCAGTAAAAATCAGTACACTAT